ACCGAGGTAAATGATGCGGTGTTGCCAACGGCAGACTTTGACACTAGGCCATCAAAGTCTCGCCCAAGACTCCTGAAAACCAAGCCACCGGTACTCACTAGCTACATGTGAGAGCTCAATGGTCCGAACTGCCTCCCCCAGCCGTGCCGTGTTTACTAACTCCACCTTGACTACCGGCATCTGATCCTGCCGAGTAGGCCTAAGGTAGAGCAATCTGGCCACTAGGTGAAAGCAACAAGTATATGTCATGATAGAATGAATCAGGCTGTTAACGAAAAAATGTCTCAAGGGTGATGTGCGCATGTTATTACAAGCTTTCCGTACCAAGGCTAGCCCTTATACAGCACTTCTCGACTGGAGAAGTCTCAATGTGCGAGATGGTCTGGATATCTAGCCAGGTAGTTATTATGCGAGACCTCGATGTAACGGTTAACTTCAATGACTACAGTACCACTAATATGAAAGACAATCGAATAGAAAGCAGGGTATCATAACAGCCTCGCCGGGTCCTCACCCAGCGCCAGGTGGGCTGACAGCGTTACGGAGCTAGTTGGACAGCTGATCCCTTGTGCAGTCAAACATAATAGGGATTAGCCAATTGAGTATAAGGTTCCCTCAAACGAAACATATAAGTATGAATTTAGATGCCATGGTACTTGATAAATTCATCTGAGGGCGCAAGACAGTAGCGGCTGGGATGAGGCTACCATGCTATCCGCTTCTTAGCCAATGAACCATCCTTAAATGTGAAATAACCCGAGGGGCCAGCGCATTTTAGAAATGTACCTTATGAAGATTAGCTTTCCGTAGACATGATTTTGTGGAAAATGAGGCTCGAGGCTTCGATAAGCTCCATGCTAGTGGGTAAAAGTTTCGTAGATATTTTCCCGTCCCTGCGCGGATTTCACTCGATGTACATACGGCCTTTCGGATCGATCCTGTTTCTACCAGAAACACTTGAATACCTAGGTAATAAGACTTGTAACAAGTACCGCTCTGTTGAGATTCCAACACCCATCACGGATCAATCACGCATCAAAGAACCAAGGGTTTAAATGATGCAATCACCTACACATATACTCGCTGTTACGAAAACACAGTTCCATTTGTCAAATTCGAGGATAGTTCCTTGTATCCAATAGTACGATAATTGTCGGTATTATTACATTCTGAAACTGAGCGGTTGTGTGCATATCTCAAGAATTGGCGTACTTTCTGTCGACGTACTGCTTGCTTTACCCGAGGATAACCTAGTATAGAAACGAAGGCCATTAGACTGTGGGTACACTGACAATGGATTATGAAATGCATTGTGTCATATGTTGGCGGGCGTCGACTCACGCGTAAACCCTCTTCCTGTGTAGCAGGGCAGTTTCGATCTCTAGTGATGAGCGGAAGTTCCCAACTACAGCGTGGCAGTGAAACTGTATTCTTTAATCTGCCTTTTCCCCTAAACCTCAGCTACTACTTGATCAGCCAATCACTCGATGCTTCTTGAGGCTGGGACTGAGACTAAAGATTGATTCTCCTATTCTTCGTCGATTCAACCCTGATTTTATCTCTTGAAAAGCTCGTGGCGTTTTGAAAGGACTGACTAGGTACGCAGTAGTTCGACACAAGTGTCAGTGCCACGTCCTATGTAACTTTTTCTTGACTAAATCTACCTCGAAAGAGACTAGCTATGTCATAAAAATGCTGACCGTTGTATTTTGCACGTGGCGGATTCATCTCTGAACTATTTTAGACTTTGTTGAGATGAGATTAAAGGCGCGTGGTAATCCCGGATGCCGAGACCACGGACTCAACTGCCAGATGAGGTTACATTGCCGATTCTTTGTCAATCAATATCTTTGCTCGCATTCTCTACCGTTGTTAGCCTAGGGCGATGCTCTGTGGTTCTTTCGGCTGGTTGTCGTATTAGTGACTGATATTATTACTGGCTATGCGTCTACAGGCTTTATGCAAACCGTCGTCAATGTTGGTGTCCAATTTGTGAACTTGAAGTGTCGGCTCACTGAAAAATTGAACAAGAATACTACCTAAACACGAGTCAGAAGGTCGCAGTAGTTGAGCTTGGACTTTGCCTTCATGATCGACTGAGAATGGAGTTCAGACAGACAGTTATATCCATATCGACTGCCGAACTGTAGAAGACGTTGACACATGACTTAGGGAATTGTCTTAGCATATCATTCCCTGACACGAGTGCTTCTGGAAATACTGATTCTTGTGGGCCTTAGCGAGACATCCAATTGAATTGGATGAGTAGGTGGCTACTATTTGTCATCGCCCTAGCGGCTTGAAAAAAAACAACAACCCGCATTTCCTGGGTTTCAATGACAGATGCTGTGACAGCCCTTGCTATGCTTAGCCTACCAATCGGCCGTTTGTCCAATTCGGAGCCGACGGACGGGAGATGGCACAATCAGAGATGTAATTAGGGCTGGCTGATGGCTTGTGGAGTGTCGCAACGCACTGTAACGTAACACAGCGCAAAGCATCCAACTTTGGGGAGGACAGAGTCTTGGCACTTCCAATGTTACGGCTGGGCTGGCAATGCCATGATCTCCAGAAAGCAAAGGTGTTTCAATATCAGGACAAGTATTCGTTAAATAACTCGAGGTGATTGGTCATCTACCGACACAAGACTGACTTTAATGTTGGATAAAGTAATTTTCAAGGAGTTGCTCAAGGGTCATGAGGGATTGGAAACTGAAACAGCAAAGCGTCCGATATTGTCACGTTCCGGGGATGTTTGAAAACCCCTGAATGATAACATTATACGCCACTGCGATCGTTGGGTGCAATGATCAGCGGGCCAATGAATAACCAAAAAATCCTGCTAATATGGAGAGACCGGCAAGGAGATCTGACTTGAATAGGAGAAAAAACTGTCCATAGCCATTAGGGGCAAGGTTTGGAGAAAATAGTTTGAGAGGCCAGGATAATATAAAGCCTGGCACCGGGAGACGCCGTCGGCGGAGAATGTGGCCGAAATGTGATCTTCACGAGCTACTGTGCGGTCGACGTGCCCGGTGTGGAGAGCCGAGCCGAGTATCAGGGGCATAATCATGACCATGGCTAGCATGGGTATGGACTGATGCTCATGGATAATTGGATATGACATGGCTATACCGGTAGTAATGAGTTCCAATGTTGCCGTTACATGAAGATAACCTAGCCTAGGTCAACGGACCGGGCCCCGTGCCGCAAAGCATGTTGGCTGAGAGTGTTGCGAGATCTCATTGATCCCATAAGGCTGAAGCTGGCAATGAATAGGTAAATTGATACCGAAAGACGATAAAATCCTCAGACTCTTTCCCGGAGGGCTCTCATCTCCGAACACTGGGCTCTCTGTCTCAGAACATCGATACTGAATAACTCAACCGACCCCGCCTCAACAAGCCAGAATTACGCGTAAAATGAGACTAAAATTAAGACAAGTAATAATAAGTGTCTGACAAATTGTACCGTCCACCGGGAAGTCTCTCCTGGAAGAGCCTGAGAGAGCCAGGTTTATCTCTTGGCAGATTTGAGCATTGTCGACTAATTACGGAGTAGTCTAAAAGCACTGATACCTTCAGCGGAAGTTGCCGCCTGCCTGGGAACGAAGCCGGACGTACAATGTGTTGCGTGCAATTTGCAAGATGCCTGTAATGAGAGACTGAACCTCCGGTAGCAGCTACTGGCTACGGTAGTGAGATTTACGAATACTCAACAATCAGTGCAAGCGCTGCAAGGGATCACAGACTAATACGAACGATGAGACAGTCTAACCTTCAACTGTGCCGCTTGATGGGATGGCCAAGAAACTCCCCTCCGTAAAGGCTGAAAATCTCCTGCAGCGAACATGAATTGTGCAGACCATAAGGGTAGGTAGCCCACCCGGATAATATGGGGTACCAACCCGAAGGAGAGGCTATCGAGATCTAGATTCTCGAGATTAGACGAGTACACGATGGTACAAGCTGGAGTATTCTTATGAATGCTACTAAGCGCTTTACCAATTTGGTTTGCAGATATTCTAAGAATTGAGACAGAGTGACAGACGGGCACGGATTTTGACAGTATCCATCCATCGAGATCTTTATCTGTAAATCCCTTACGTATTCATAAACGTTTCTGGTCGTGGAACGTCCCCCGATGTGGAGGATATCTAACAGTCGGGATGTCCATGTGTAGGCGGCACCCAGAAACAGTCCGTGGCTGAGGGCAAGGAGCTCCACAAACGATAACGAGAAAGTGAAACTGAATTCTTGAGTTGCAGAACTGTGCTGTGCTGTGCTGTGCTGTCATTTTTGCTTTTTCTTCTCACAGAACCAATGCACTATAAATTCCATACCAGAAAATGACTTGCCAGCGGCCATGCTTGCGAACCCCACCAAATATCGGCCAAGTCAGCACCGGGCTGTCTGATGAGTTCGACGGAAAGAAACAGGCAATACCATACAGTACTGTCTGAAAAGGAGTCCAGGGAATCTTTGTATCGTGCCCACAGCGGACATGCATCGGAGATATTACATGTTGTTATGCCAAGATCAAACATCTTCCCTAGTGCTACAGCGCTGACCCAACTCACTGGGCCCCCAAACACAGCTGGGACAATCACATCAGTATCAACACCAACATGGATGCTTGCTCGATCAATGAACACCCATGATGTACATGGGAAAGAAACAAAATGTCAGATGCCCTTGTCCCCCACCGCCACCGCGCTAAGTGCGCCCCTACCAGCCCTGCAACTGCAGAGTACTGAGCGTCAATCCGTCTTAGGACGGCTTAGCTACCCTTGTGCGACCAACAACAGGAACGCACAAGCGCCCCCCTGTCAAATGTCAAGTCCCTATTGGGCGTACAAGTCTCGTTCCAAAGAAGAAGCAAGCTCTGCGGCGCCAAAAGGATGCACTAGAGCGGCGCTGGGGAGGGGAGGGCCCGAGGCTCATGATGGGACGGGTCCGGGCCTGTCCCCGGCGTCCCAAAGTCCAAGCCTAATCAGCCATCCATGTCCTAAAGTTGCTCAAAAGAGACAGGCACAGGCACAAACTAACAGGACTCGCGCTGCATGCTCATACTCACCCTCACTCAATGTCGCACTCATCTCGGGGAGTATGTCGATGTACCACCACCACAAGTTCCATTCATGGATCTTCACCACCCAATCCACTCACTATCACGGATTCTCAACTGGAAATGGTCAAAACTCCCACAAGCACCACTTATGTACACTTCGGTACCTCTCTAACACCCTGGCGCCTGTGGCAATGCCTTGGAAAATAATACCCGCACCTCTCTCTCTAGTCACTGATGGTGGTACCTCCATGTGCTTGAGCGATGCGTTTTGCAGCGGCTGTCTCGCCTGTCTTGCAACGGCTTGATCTTAGCGATGGTTACACAGAGCGTGCTACTCCTAGTTTGGTAGAGCTCGCCGTACCAGAGCGACGATATCGGTAATGCCTAGAAGAAACCCACCGGCGATCCATGGTCCATCTCTGCTTCGACTCGTGCAGACAGTCAGTGTCTCTGTCTCACGAGGGAACCCTGGAGTTCTTGTCCCATCCAATGCTCCGCCAAAGTCCCCAGGCCCTTTGTCTCTATCCCCGGCAGGAAACCGATAGCCTCAGCCTCTTGCGCTCCTCCTAGATAGGAGTGGCGGTGATATCGGTATGAGCCCCATCTATGCCTGTTAATGTATGCTTTCGATGGACGCTTGATCTGCCCCTGGGATCACAATAGCATTAATAAAAAGTGATGAGCTATAGAAAGACCTCATTGCGCCCGAGAACCGGGGCCGACACTGACACTATCCGCCACAGTTGGGTTGCCCTTATGCGTTTCCATGCGTATCGACCTAGCCCTGTGCTCATCTCTGTGACGACTTACCTTACTTGCCTTACTTTAGTTTCTTTTGCTTGCTTGTCCACTCTTTGCTCCTAGTCCCTCCCAATTCCTTTTATTACCCCGGCTGCTTCTAGTCCTCTGCCACCTTTTTCTTGCAGAAACTTTGATTCTTGACTACCGCTAAAATTGCCCTTTCCCTCCACCCTCCTCCGTTTTCTCGGCCGAGAAACGGTTCGATAGAAAACGTGTGGTCGTAGAACTACCACGAGGAGCAGCGGTAGGTATCAGTACTTGCCTGCTACCTTTGCTGAGTTGCTGAGGTACCTTTCCTATTGAGGTGTACATATGGCTCAGAGTTGGGTTAAAGAGGAATCCTCATCGTCTCATTCCGAGAGAGCGGGGGCAGAGCACAAGCACATGCACACGCACAAGGGCAACCAAACTCGCATGTATCCTTTACAAATATGAACCATGCGTCCTCTTCATCGTCAAGGGACCAAGCAGCAGCAACGCCAACAACAGAATCACAAGCGCAGGTGCAACTACCTGCTTTAGCATCGACAACTACGATCTTCCCAATAACTGATCTGACCACTCATCCGTCTTCTGTCCCCCACTCTACCAGCGTCAACACTTTCAATACCATCGATATTCCCTATACGGAGAGCTCTTACAGCAGCAGTAACGTCTCTCCTGCCTCGACGAGTACCCCGGCTACTCCCGTTACAGGCGTCGGTACTACTGAAGGCATCACTGCCAACAGAAGCCCGTCTGTCTCTGCTGCCGGCATTTCAACCAAAACCGCTTCAGTTGCTTCGACTACCTCAGCCTCATCCGACCTTGTTGCACCACCGGCAGCTCCTCCAGCCAAAGCAAAGCGTGTCCGGACAAGTAAGCCGAAAGTCAAGACAGGATGTGCCAATTGCAAGTTCGTCTCCCCAATCCTTATCCCTTATTCCTCAAACCTGGTCCTAGTTGGGCGTAATGATAGCCATAATCTTACCTTTGTGGTATTATAGACAAAGGCGAATCAAGTGCGACGAGGCTCGTCCAGCTTGTACGCAATGTGTTCGAAGTAACAAAACCTGCACAGGCTACCCGCCCCCTAGTCGCAGTTCCCGTCCGTTCGAGGAGATCCGGATCGCTCCAAAGCCGATGCCAGCAAACGATGCTCAAGCATCTTCGAGCACTTCGATTGCTCCTCTCCACGGCGACTACCATCTCCTGCCACGTCGGGCCCATCAAAGATCAGTTTTGAGGACGACATCACCGGGGACTGTTTCTCCGTCACCCACTACTTACCATCCATCCTCCGCTATGCAGATTCAACCAAATGAATCCTTCTACTTTGACATATTCCGCTCACACACTGCTAACGAGCTTTCTGGCTTCTTCAACAATCTATTCTGGACGCACTATGTATTGCAGGCGTGCCATTCTGAAGATGCCATCAAATGCGCTGTCATTGCGCTGGGTGCTCTGTATCAGACTCTCGAGCAGACAGCTACCCTGAATATGCACAGTGGATCCGAGATGGGTGGTGATGCGCGTGTCGAGCTTGTCAGGGGCCATTGGCAAGTTGCCATCAGGAGATACGGTGATGCATGCAATGCTTTAGTGAAACTAAACACCCAAGATCAGAGATCGCACAGGACCTCAATCATGGCAAATGTGCTTCTCGCCTGCTTTGATTCCTTTATTGGTGATTACAGGCAGGCCATTCACCAGATCCAGACGGGACTTGGCCTGCTTGACATATTCCGCACTCAACAAAGACAAAGGCTCCTTCCAGTTTCCGAGAACTCGCTGGAGGAGGAATTGGTTATCATTTTTACTCGCCTGGCGATCCAAGCAAAGTCCTACGATATGGCATTCCACTTCCCCCAGCCGTTCAGTATAAGGCTTAGCTCACAATCGCAAACACAATCTCCTGGTCCGAGTGGCACATCTACCCCTTCACAAGAAGAGCCCTTCTCGATCCCTGAAACTTTCACATCCGTCGTCGAAGCTCGAGTGGCCTGCGATGCGCTAAACGCTAGGATTATGAGATATATCGAGGAGCTTTTCGCCATGAAGACCGACCTCAAGAGTACCCTACCTCAATCATGGCTTGATTATGGCCTCCATTTCAAGGACTACCTGGATGCTTGGGGCAAAGCGTTCGACAACCTATTTTTCACACGGCACAATCCTTCTGTCAGCCTTCAGGAGAAAGCAGGCATTGCTGCACTGAAAATGTTGTCCACTAATTCAAGAATCCTGTACCTCATGATGTTCAGTGATAAGGAGTCTGACTTCGACAACTTTCTTCCTCAGTTTCAGACAATAGTCGACCTTGGTACTGAAATAGTCGGTGATGAGGAGAGACGAGCCGCCTCGCGCGATTGCCCCAACCCCGAGCAATGCCAACATCGACAACGTGAAAATTGGCAGAGCCAGGACTTGTTCCCGGCCATGGGATTCTCAGCTCCGCATCTCAAGCCTAGGTTCGCAGCTGACATAGGGATTGTTGCTCCTCTGTTTGTCGTGGCAACCAAATGTCGCGATCCAGGTACAAGGCGCCGAGCTATTCAGCTTCTACGCAGCAGTGCCCGCCGTGAGGGTATGTGGGATAGCGAAATGGTTGCAAATATTAGTGCATGGGTCATGAACTTTGAGGAGTCAGAGGCGCTCTCTATGGGGGTCGAGTCCTACCATGTCGACGGCATCACGAGGCCCATACCACGAATAATCCCCGAAGAAAAGCGCTTCACAATTCGTTCCGTCGACTTCGACCTTCGAACCCGAGTTGCGGACCTTCAGGTTGGCACTCGCGGTCTTCCACCTGGTATTTCTGATTCTAAGTTTCGTCAAACTCGGCTGAACTGGTAGTGAGGTCAGAGGAGTATTAACGCTCATATTTGCTTTGCATGAAACGGTTTGCCAGCCGTGTATATAAACATGGGTTTTCGAGGATGTGGTGTTTCGGGCTCGGAGTTCAAGGAAGAAGGACGGGAATGTGTGAAAACTATCATATCAATGCTGTACTATCAATGCAACAGAAACTCTCTTAGGAGACAGACTCTAATAGTACATCCAACGTCTATCATGCATGTCATTCTGGGACCCAAACATTTTAAAGTCGCGCTAATGCTAAACAGTGCCACGCATACGTACAATGCAAATGTCCATCTTCAGGGGTATTACAGAGGTGGTAACTCCTCTCGACATATGGGACACTGCAACCGGAATCTCATCCAACCTTCCAAGCAAGCACTATGGAATATATGCCTGCAAGGTGTAACCATATATAAACGACGAGCGAAGACGCCAGCAACACCCGTGTCTTCGTCTTCAGCTGTAAGCACTGGCACCTCCAGGACTTCACGACAGATTGCGCAGTCGATACTTCTCGTCGAGCTTTGCTTCTTGCTGCTATCATCACCGGATAACCGGGCACGCTCGATACCAGGTGTGTCATCAGCAACCAGGCCAATTGGCAGACCACCAGCTTCGAGGCTGTCCTCACGAAGAACAGGATGGTAGTCCCAAGCATCAGGGGCCCAGCCAGCGGGAATGCCAAAACGGGGACCGATGATGTCTTGTGCGGCAAGAATGATGAGCTGTATCCAAAGCCAGGCGCAAAAGACAAGAAACGCGTGCCGATCCGAGCGGGCATAAAGGAAATTATCCTCTTTGATCCAGAAATAGGCTACGGGGAGAAGACGTACGATGGACTGGCCAACGACAAATGGCCATCCAAGAGCACGGCGGCAGTTTCGACGGGTGTTGCGGAGGATCTGAGGAATCCAAAAGGATAGGTAGACGAGGACACATAGATTCAGGAACAAGGACCTCAGATTGGGATACCATGTTGTAGAAGAAATGGCCAGGAATATGATGCACAGGGAGGAGAGAATCAGGCGGCCGATGATGCTTTGGAAAGACTGGGGGGCTTCCTCGGCACGCTGCGCTGTCGTGGCGCCAGGGACTGCAGCAGCAGCAATCTCGGCATCAACATCTTGATCGGAGGGAACAATCACAGGCTGTGGCTGAGATGGAGGCGGAGGAGGCCTAACTGGCTGCTGTTCCGTCACAGGCTCCGGTAAGAGTGATCTGTTTGGAGTGATTGCTGCGGCTGATTCGGTAACATTGGTGTTATCACCCAAGTTGCTCACTTCCCGCTCTCGTCGAGGCCGGGCTTCAGGGAGCTGAACCTCATGGACTTTGGCGAGAAAGCTTCCACCAATGGTCATAGACAGAAATGCGGCAAACAAGAGGGCCAATGTTGGCAGAAAGGTAGCGCCAGCAGAGGATACCCAAGTAGCTGCAGCCGTGAAGGTCATACCGTCAACCATGAGCATAATGGCGATAGTCCAGAAGCTCACTCGACCCATTGTAGATGGGGTGCAGGACTCGCGCATCTGGTTCTTGAGGAGATTGACCTGACCAAACACAACAATCGCGTAGATGAGAATCCATGTTTTGACCTGGTAAAGTTGAACCTCTATCTTCATGCCTGTTAAATGCTGAGCCTCACTTGGGCCAAAATCTGGCGGACCTTTGGTCTCTAGAAAGAACCCGCAGTCTGGAGAGTAGATGATGGCTGACATTTGGAGTTTGGGTATCGTTGGGATGGGTGCGCCAACAGGCGATTGTAACTCTGACTCGATAGCATCGATGACAGACTCTAAAGCGTCCCGCGATGACTCCTGGGAATCGATATTGAAATGGGTTCGACTTGGCGGAAAGACTTGCGCATACATAACATATTCGCAATGTGGCGATGGATTAGTAGTGTAAAGAGGGTTTTCCAGATCTGAAGTCCATGGTACAGTCTGGTCTGCATAAATGTTCTCCCTCTTCGTCGCAATGACATGGGCGATCGACTCATTAAGTAGTCTCTGACTAGACTGGAAGAAGTCCTCACTTGGCGTCAGGTGTGGCAAGCCGAATATGCCTTCGAACTTCTCACTGGTGGTGGTCATCAAAACCACACCCTGACGTGGCCAATGAACACCCCATAGCCTCATTTCCCAGTCATGGCCAGAGCCATGCGTGTCCTCGATAGTAGTCGTGCCTTTAACACTCCGTATGAGACCTCCAGCGACAGGGACGCTACTTTGAGTTGGTAATTGCTCATACTCGCTCATGGTCTGATTTCCTTCTAGGCGCAGCATCATGCGACCAGTGCGGCCAGTGATGTTACGTGCCCAAGGCACTTTATCACCAATCCAGTCCATCCCAGGAGCAATTTTGCTCAGATTGTAGCTGTTGTATCCTCTTGATATAGAATCTTTTGGCTTGACCCATTCTCCATGAACAGTGCCTGATGCATTCAGCCAAATAGGCTCACCATGTCCAGTGTCCCACAGACTATGCTGTCCAACTGGTGGTATGGCATGTCGGCTGAAGGCCAAACTCCGCTCGCGAAACCTTTTCAAATCGCCCCAGGAGAGGTTATCTTCCGCACGAAAACCCGTGAGATTCAGAAAAGACGGCTTCACCTTGGAATCTTTCTCCGTGACTGGTGTGAAATCGCCCCATCGCGAAGTGTTCAGCACGTCCAGAGCATCCTGAAAATGATCAAGTCTCTCGCCTGCGAGATCTGAGAGAGTAAGAGATTGACTTGAGTAGTCGCTATCGGGAAAGATGAGCCAGACAACGAAAACAATAAATATAAGTGTGGCGATTGGATGTTGGGCTTGCGGCATGATGACCCACGATAGCGAGCGACTATCACCGTAACATGCTAGACCTGGTTTAGTCGTCGGTCCAAGACGACGTGATGAAGATGATAATAACCGAGCGGTTGAGCGTAGTGAGGATATGAGTTCGTGGATGCAGTCGATGGCTGATACTTAGTGGTTGGTTTGCCTCTGTTTATGAGATATTGTTTGAGTTATGAGACCTGGCGTTCTGGTAGTGGTACGTATCGCGGCTGGGTGGCTGTTGGCTGCTGCTGGTGGTGCTAAAAAGAAATGCCGTATCCGTCCATTTTCCGGCACAGTATGAATAAGGGGCGGATCAACAGCATCAAACAAACCAGGTACCGCCGGATACAACCGCCAACGCACATATACACTGTCACAAGACAAACATTTCACTCAAGAAACTACTTTGAGTATCTTTGTCTCTGTATATATAGACTTTTTCTTCTCAGTTTAGTTCCTTTGATACACCGGCCTTTCGTCCTCCTATCCCCAATATCATGATGGCTAGCAACGAGCCGCAACCAGATTCCACAGCCAACAGCAAGCCTGAAAATGTATGTTTTATTCTTCCACAGCCCATGCAACCTTCTCTGGCTTCGGGTCATGCGGTGTCGCACTAAGAACGCCTGGGTTGGTTGCAAAGCTTTCATGACTGGTTTCAACAGCACCGCTGACTCGATTATTCTTTGTTACAGCCTTCGGATGATGCTCGCGCCGATGTCACAGCCGCCGTTGAGGAGCTACTAAACTCCTTGTCTAACAAATTTGCTGGTGTCTCGTCAGAGATCTTTGCGAAAAGTTAGTATCATCGGCTTCAGATTCCACACCAGCCCGCTAACATAGTGTCAAGTGGATGAAATGTCTCGGAGGCTGGATAATCTCGAAGCAGCTCTCCAAGAGAGCAAGACCAAAGATGGAGGCTCAACCAAGTCCTCCTAAGATTTGAGTTAAATAAGGAATGTAGGGTGCTCAGGCTTTCTCGCACTTGTTTCGATTCATCACACGCAAATAGAAGTGCTGACATGTCTCGTTACGATTTCATTATGTCGTCGAGTCCAGTCGACTAAGATCCAACTACATAAAATACTTTGATTCGTGACTTGCTTTCCGCTCTCATTTATCATATGTGTGATTCTTTACAGCTCATCCTTGATCTCTTCGACCTTCTCCTCGACCTTCTGCGTAAACTTGCGAAGAACGTTTGTCTTCTGCTGAATCTGGTCACGCTTGGCGGGGGCCAGTCCACCCTTAGTAAGGATGCCGTCCAAACGAGCGAGCTCCTTCGAGACCCAGTCATTGTTCGAGCTCAGCTTGTCAAAGACGCGCACGTAGTACTCGGCGTATGTTTTCTGAGCAGCATCGGTGAGGCCCTCGACCTCCTTCTTGACCTCCTCGGCGACCTCAGCAATGGCAGCACCGCCTGTGATCTTGGCCACGAGCGTGTCAAGAGACTCAACGGTACCAGCAACAGTATCAAGACCACCACCGGTGACTCGGTGGGTTCCGGCGTGTTCATTGATCCAGTCAACAAAGGCCTGCTCGCTGCGTCCACTTTCGTAGGCTACAGCCTTCTTGCTGCCAGCAGGGAACCACTTGATGGTTGGGTAGGACTTGACACCTTGCTCCTCAGCCACTGCCTTGCTGTTGGGAGCTTCGGCATCTACCTTGGCAATCAGGACATTCTTCTCGTTGACGAATGTGTTGGCGAGGTCTTCCCAGGTGGGGGCAAGGCTCTTGCAGTCTGGAATAGGTCAAGATTAGTGAAATTGAAGTGAAGAATGGCGCAGGGAGAACTCACGTCCACACCAAGGAGCGGTAAAAGCGACGAGAACATGCTTGTCGCCACCAATGGCCTTGGGAAATGTAGCATCGTTGAGGTAGGTAACCTCGCTGGGCAGCTCAAGCTTCTTCTTAGGTTTGACGCCGGTCTTTTCAACGATAAAATTGGTCAGGCTCTCGAGGTCGCGGCCAGACTTGTAATCCTGAGGCTTGCTGCTCTTGCCATCGAAGAACTTAAGAGTAGGGAAACCCTGGATACCAAATCGCTTACCGAGCTCACGCTGGGCGTCAGCGTCGACCTTGGCGATTTGGACCTTATCCTTTGCGTACTCGTAGGTATTGGCTAGGTCCTCCCAAACAGGAGCAAGTGTCTTGCAGTGGCCACACCACGGAGCGAAGAATTCGACGAGCGTAGGTTTGCCGGACTTGAGAACGATGTCGTCAAAATTGGAGGGAAGCAATTCGATGACGGCGGATTTAGCTGCGGCGGTGGCGGCAAGGGCGCCCAGCACGAAGCTCTTGATTAGAACCATTTCTTACGATGAGCTTGTTTCGATTGTTTTTAGATGAAAGAGGAGTAAAAAGAAAAAAGATGAAGCAAAGCACTGTCTGAAATCAGAGACGTGCTATGTTTCTGGAGGGTTGCTTGGAAATCCACCAGAGATGCCAGCTTGCATAGGAATGTCCGGTGTAGGTGGATATCCCTGTAAGTTAAAGCGGGACCTGCAGCTGAGGCAAGCTCGAGCTGTATTGGTCAGCCATCATACCTAAGGTACAATAGCCCATTGTTGGACTACCTTATTTTCGATGAAGTATCCTTGATTGAAGTGTTCTTCGTTTCTTTCTATTCAATTTGCTGAATCAATCCCTTTGACCTAATTATTTGCAGCAATTAATAGCTGTCTGCCTCAAGTGTCAGCTATCCAATGGCTCATGCTCTATGTGTTGATAAGAAAGCATAACTAGAACATAAATTCAATGAGGCCGCCGTGTAAACGAGACTTGATGGTTGGAAACTTGCGCCTTGGATGAAATATATCCAATATTTCCATAGAAACAGGACTTCATTGGGTATTTAAGTCTAATGCTTCTTGAAATACAATATTCACAACAAGACCTCTCGTTCTTTGATTGACCCCTGCGGAGGGTATTTTAGTTTTAACATCAACTTCTGGATGCTTTACAGAGGTTCAAGCAACGTCTTGGTTACTGCTTCTTGAATTTTGCCTCAGATCATGAGAACAAAGAGCATAGTGAATATAGAGGTTCCGGTGATAGACAGTAGCTGAGGATATTTCTTGAGCGCAACTTGCCATCAGTACCTCACTACCCTTGACAATCTTGCTGTTTGAAGGGGTTGCCTCATCCCAGCAGCATGATAGTACTCGAGTTCTGTGTGAGCTTGTATATTCCATTCCCGGATTTTCTGCGCAAATTGGGAGAGCAGTACTATGTAAGACGGCACTCAGTGATCAGGTTCAGTTTGCCCTTCAGTGGGTGTTGAATCACCTTGTTGGACAGACCCATGTCAGGAGAGTGGGCCATTGTATCGTCCGGGGCCATTAATAATCCGGAACCCGATGTGCCCTCTACCCGAACTGGGGTTGCGGGACCTAGTAGGTCAGCGCACACAAAATTTCCAGCGGCAACCCAACTCGCGAAATCAAATCATCCCGCAACCCTTCGAGCTTTCGGCCTTCAATCATCACCGCAACGATGTCTCACGAAAGCGTCTGGAACTCCCGCCCCCGAAACTACGGCAAGGGCTCTCGCAGCTGGTACGAATTTATATATCCTTTGCCCGAAATTCCATGCGCCCGATGGCGTCGAAATCATCGACTGAACATTATTGATGCTAACATCTCGTAGCCGCGTCTGCAAGCACAAGGCTGGTCTCATCCGAAAGTACGACCTCAACCTGTGCCGTCAGTGCTTCCGTGAGAAGGCCAAGGATATCGGCTTCAACAAGGTGAGTTTCAATCGAGCGAAATTACTATGGGCCCCAACACCCAGGACGATGTTCGATCAACATAGCGGGAACAACGAGACTGACCCGGGATTGCCTGCAGTACCGATAAACGATCATGACACCCGGTTTTCTCGGTTAAGGGATGGGGGGGACTGCTAGAGAGCCTAGTATTGTGTGGATGGGGGAGAACTTTCAGCAGAACGTCAAAGGCCTCGCGGTAAAAAAAAGCACTCGGAGGGCGGCCGCTTGGAACAGGAGTTTTATGGCTTGCTTGGGTCCCTCAGGAAGATCGTGCGTCTGACGAAAATCCTCCGAGGATAGACGAATACCATTGCATTGGACCTCGATCATGTCCATGTGTCTTGTCTTATCCTCCCACCTATCCGTATGACCAGCCTGTGGCTATGGAGTGCATCGGGTCACTGTGATTAATGACAATCTAAAAACCTCCAGGCGCTGGCCCTCTCGCACGCTTAAAGACCCCGCTGTGCTCATCAACTGTTGATCCAGCCATCCTGGCTAATCACGGCAACAATGACCATCATACTGCCGTAATGAACAAGTGATTCACGCCGAAATGGATTTTCTAGTTTTATGAGTCTTATTACTGCCTCCCCTAGATTTTATCTAAACCAAATCAACAAGAAGGTGGAGGAAGCAGAGCGGAGATCTTTGAGCCTCAAGGCCACCTAAATATACAAGAGCCAAAATGGACTCAAAGAAAGACATTGCATGATTGTACATAAGCGTAATAATTCGTACACCGCCCCCGTTAACTTTTTCATTTCTTGTGTAAAACATCGCTTACTTGATGATGCGAGTGCAGAGACCAGTAGCGACAGTTCGGCCACCCTCACGGATGTTGAATCGCTGACCGACCTCGATGGCATTGGGGTGGCCCATGGTGACAACCATCTCGGTGTTGTCACCAGGCATGACCATCTTACTGGAGGCATCCTCGGTACCCTCAGGGAAGGTCAGGTCGATGGACTCATCAGCAGTTCGGAGGTAGAGCTGGGGTCGGTAATGCTCCTGGAAACCGGTGTGTCGGCCACCCTCCTCCTTGGTAAGGACGTAGAGGGAAGCGAGAAATTGGGTATGAGACTTAACGGTGCCAGGAGCGCAGACGACCATACCACGGCGGACATCCTCACGGCGAACACCTCGGATGAGGAGACCAGAGTTGTCACCAGCCTGGGACTGCTCACAAGACTTCTTGAAGGTCTCGATGTCGGTGACCTTGGTCTTGATGACCTCCTGACCCTTTCCAACAAGCTCAATCTCCTGATCGCGCTTCAGGATACCACGCTCCACACGGCCAGATACGACGGTACCACGACCGGCAATAGAAAAGACATCCTCGACAGACATAAGGAAGGGCTTGTCAAGGTCACGCTCGGGGGTTGGGATCCACTCATCGACAGCAGCAAGGAGCTCATCGATCTTCTCGGTGCCGATCTCGGGGCGCTGGTTCTGGAGGGACATGAGAGCAGAGCCCATAATGACAGGGGTGTCGTCGCCTTCGAAGCCGTATGTGTTAAGGAGCTCACGCATCTCCATCTCGACGAGCTCAAGCATTTCGGGGTCATCAATGGCATCGACCTTGTTGACGAAGACGACAATTCGCTGGACACCAACCTGACGAGCGAGAAGCAAGTGTTCGCGGGTCTGGGGCATCTGTCCATCGGAGGCGGCAACGACGATGATAGCACCGTCCATGTTGGCAGCACCGGTAATCATGTTCTTGATGTAATCGGCGTGACCTGGGCAGTCGACGTGGGAGTAGTGGCGGTTGTCGGTGGCGTACTCGATGTGGGCGGTCGAGATGGTAATACCGCGCTTTCGCTCCTCAGGAGCCTTGTCAATGGCACCATACTCAAGGAAGTTGGCGAGGCCCTTGTCGGCCTGTCGCTTCGTGATGGCAGCAGAAAGAGTGGTCTATGATACAAGAGTCAGCTGGGTTTTGAGAGAGAGAGAGGGGTTATAGGATATAGAAGGAGGTAGTCGTACCTTGCCATGATCGACGTGGCCAATTGTACCAATGTTCACATGGGGCTTTGATCGCTCAAAAACAGCATATGTGCGGTAAAGGTTGAGGACACCAGAGGTGTTCTGCTTGGTGAAGGCGGACTGAAGAGGGTTGATGGGGTTAGCCCGTAGACCTTGTCGGGCGGTGCGCAGGAAAGGCGCAAGGGATCGGAAAGCGGTCGACATTGTAACGACTCCCTATGGGTATTATAAATGAAAATTAAAAACGAGATGGAGCGGAGAGGAAGGGGAACAGAGGCAAGAAACACACGATGGTGCTGTCGGGGTAAAGATGGAGATGGAGAACGGCTATAATGAGTCCTCGAAATTTTCTCGAGCTATCAAGCCAGGCCTCTTGTCTCGCTCCAAAGGCGTCTGTTCGGGGAACGGATGTCTGGTGGAGCCAGCCAGCCAGGTTTTCGCCCACTCAGACTACGAGGAAGCAAAGCAGGCAGGTCACGTGGCATTACAGCGAAGCTCAGGTTCCATATAATGTTCTCCTACTTGTGAGTGTCAATGCCTATATCCGTAAACCTAGGTAGGTGCTAAGTTTATACGGAGTAGCTGAAGAGCCTTTATGGCTTTGGAAGTGTATGAATTGCACCTTTTTTATTGGTGTAAATTGACTATGGCTTAGCAATGAGACTCTTCTAGCCTCGAGATATGTGTTAACGACTCTACACTAGTGTGTCCTTATGAAGTCCCTTTTTAATGCCCCAAGGTGATTGATTCAAGAAACATGCCAACATTGAATATCTCTTGGGATCAACAAGAACTGAAGTAGTATATCTTAAGTAATTAGATATTTTTTAGCAGAGCGATACACAGAGCACTGCCGATCATGCGCCCTTAACGACAGCACAATAACACGGAAGTATCCTGTACCCTCATCTTATTTGCGGGTTCTAGAATTTGACCAGTGAGCCGGGTCCATCGGAGAAAGCCAACTAAAAAGAACCTCCCGAGTCGCGCGCCATATAAAAATCTCAACCGCATCACCTCAACTCACAAGCTCTGACATCCATTCTTTCCCTCTGCTCGCTGAACAAAGCACTACTTCTTATCCTACATTGGGGCCATTATTCCCGTCGCTTAAAACTTCAGCCCCTGAACACCTACAGCAATACGATTATTAAAGTCGCCTGGTTTAAACGCAACCTTTCCTTCAGACCTTCAACAGCGAAAACAGCAACCTCCTATCTAGAGCAGTTTTATTCGCAAACTCATAGCTCACTTCTACAACCACTCAAAGCATTCACAATGGATCCTGTTGGTCAGCAACAACAGCCTCAGGGCGAACAACCTGAACTCAATGCCTTTGGTAAATTCACTGCTCAATTCCTGCAGTATGGAGCCAATGCATCCAACAATATTTCAAATGCCTTTGACAGCATGGACACAAAAGCATGGCTTCGTCTTACCGTCATTGTTGGTGGCTATATGCTGCTGCGGCCCTTGTTCCTTAAGTTCGTTACAAAGGGGGCTGTTCAAAAGATGGAGGATGATGATGCCCGCGAAAAGCGCAAGGCACAGATTTCTCCCAATGAGCTACGCGGACTAGTTGAGGATGAGCCCGAAATTGACGAGGAGGGCGATGGCACCGGTGCCGATTGGGGTCAGAAGGCTAGAGTGAGGCAGAGGACTATGCTGAAGGACCTTCTTGAAGCTGAAGAACGACGGAGGGAAGAAGAGGAGGACGACAAGGACATTGCTGATCTTCTAGAGGACTAGACATCTCATCACCTGGGCTTCTTTGGGCGCATTGGTGGGGAGTTTCTAATTTGGCTGATCGAAAATGATAAGAGGATCACATCACGGGTTGCAAGTACGTCACCTGGACTGACTGTTGACTTAATTGAAAACTTGGGTACCTTAACTTTGGTTTCTTGAAAAACGCGGGCTTCTATACTAGAGTTTTCAGAGAAGAAACTGATTCTTCTTCTTAGAAGTCACCCTAGCAGACCATACCAATAGTCTCGAAAAGCGGGGGAAAAGGCATTGTCTAAGCACAAATATTGTATTGTGTTGTTTCGCCGTTGTTTTGGACGCTCTACGGGTGATGAACATTATTAAGTTCAACCAGGATGCCCCAATACTTATTGTACAAAATACAGTCAGAGCTTCCACCCGAACTTGGTTGACGTTGACCCAGGAACAGGGTTACTCACGAACTACGGGTCGAGGAGTTCAACATTGTAGCGCCGACACTACACTTATATGAAAACACCAGGGGATTGGTCCTTTGCTTGGCCGCGATCATGCCGTATGAAATATATGAGAGCCATTAGTATTGATGATACCGGGCGACCATTCAGGTGTCAGAGAGTTAGTGAGCAGAAGTGATCGACCTGGGACTATTACTGGAGGTTATTTGAGGCCCCTAATCTGGTGGCATGGCAGGATCCGCCTGCTGTATTGCTCTGTACAACCGTTCGATGCTGCATAGAATTCTCTGCCCGGTTACCGAGACATGATTTCCATGATCCATCTTGTGGTGATACGTTACCCTTGAGCAAATCGGTGATTTTCTAAGATGGCTTAAATGGCGTGCAAATCGAAACGTAGGAGGGGCAACCTGGCGGGGGTATTGGAGAGGGGTGGCAGGGTAGGTGCCCAGCTGCCCATCAAGAGGTACTTCGATTTGCGTGATGTCACAGCCAATTATCAAGTACTTCATGTGATGGTGCTATGTCATCTGGCTTCGTACTTTGATTTGGACCCAAACTGCGCCCCAAGGCATCTCCGACACCTTCTCGTTCCTTCTGACGTTGCCGCCTTGAAACCAAAACTATAACCGACCCGAAGTAGATCGTGTCTTTTTTCTGCATTTTTGTTTAGCTTATCAGGCTTCAACTTATAGTTTCGGCTTCAACATTCACTTAGAGCGTTTCTCAACGGGTGATAGACCTACGAACTATTTTGGAGCGCCCACACCAATAACAACCCAACCTTGCGGTCTCCAGCAGGCCTGTGCGACAATAGAAAACAAACATCAGCAAACTGCCCGAACTGCGACTTGATCTAAGCAGATCTACTTGGTTGTCCTTCGTTTTATAATCCGTGGTCGCATTTGCTGTTCCTGTTTTCTTGGTAGTGTATCATGATTTCGTGCCGATCAGACATATAGACGCTTGCATCATGGGCGAATCGTTTGACATACAAAACCTCCTCCAGACGGGGTACTTCACAACTTCTCGAGCCAAGAGTCCGAAGCCGTATGATCACCAAGATCCTACCAAAGAATCACTACTTACGCAGAAAAACAGTCCACTATCGCCAAAGCTAGATGATCGTCCTTCCTCTCAACCCCCACCGTCGCAGCAGCCGCCATATCAGCTACCTTACTACCCTTTAATACCACGGCCACGGTCCGCCGCACCGGCACGAGTACCAAGAGTTAGACCGCCGCCCCCATCTGTTGAAGATGAGGAGGTTTCCCTCAAGCGAGAGCATGGTGTGTGCCTCGCAAAGCATCAGGAAGAAGAGCCTCCATCTCGTGGAGATGTTGAACAGAACCCTATGATAATGGAAGTTCATGAATATAATCCAGAGCGGCGGTTTGTCATTCTGACAGGATCATCAAGCGGCTCAGAGGGTGGTGAAACAGAAACGAGGGCTGGGTCGGACAGGAGACGTGAGACCGAGAGAAGGGGAGAAGAAGACCGACGCTATGAGCCAAGCAGGAGACCTGAACAAGAGCGAAGGACTGAACCAGGAAGAAGATCTGAACCTGACAGGAGGAACGAAATAAAAACTCCTCGTCCTGACCGGTTCGAGAAACCCCAAAGGAACGAGCGACTCGAGCGACAAGACAGGCCATCGGGTGACGCTTACACGGACACGAGATCCAGCCGGAGATACGACACTACCCTCAAGGCTGATGCAACAACGAGCAGGGAACGTAGTCGGCCACCCTTGGAAAAGCGACGCAGTAGGCAGGATCTCCCTCGACTCGAAACCGAATTCAGAGACGACCAACTGCCTGAAAAATACCGTACTCGCCCTTCAGCCCCCGCCAGCGGACGACATGATCAGCCCCCTGCACGACCCCCAAAGATTCCTCTTGATCCTCAGCTTGCTCCTGAGGTTATTAAGAGTAGCGCCAGCGGACGGGATCAAGCGTACTATGGACAGTCGCAGACTGCTTCTCGTAGGTCTCCTACTCGGCCAGGGCATGTGTCAAGCGCACCGAATGAGCGACGATATGATAATGGGCACACTCGTAACTCTTCAACCGCTTCCAACTCAAAGCGTACAAATATCGAGTCTGAGAAACCTACACGCCCTCTTTCAAAAGAGCGGGCTGGAGATGCATCAGCTCGCCCCCTTTCCAAGGAGCGTGATGATCAGCCTGCCCGTCCACTTTCAAAAGATAGAGTTGGAACTGAACCCTCTTACCGGGGCGAGTACGTACCAAGAAGTACCAAGAAAGATAGATCCCCTTCCTATGGGAAGACTGATCGTGAAGATTATGGAAGATCATCGACATATCCTCCTCGTGAGCCAACATGGGAACCAACAACGCGACGTGATGACCGTCGTGATGATCGGGCCGACGACAATCGCTCTGGTGACGATCATCCAAAGGGTCCACGAGAACTTCATCCGAGACGTAAGAAGTCTGTCGTGTTGCAGGATGAACGTGATTCTCAGCCAAAGCTGGAAAAAGTCGATGCACCAAGTGGTCCCAGATTGAGACCACGAGGACCTACGATGCCTATTCCAGTCGCTATACCTACTGGTTCGACAGTCTCGGATGATTTTACTCAAAACTTACGGCCTGCGTCAACATTTCCAGTTGCTCGAGATGAGCATGTTCTTCCAGAGAGGCCTAAAAATGAGCTTCCATACCCCGTGGATGAAGACACTTTGATCGACCCCTTCGATACCCGCGGCAAGTCTGAAAGAATTGGTAGGCCACGATCCCAATACGAGCCAGACCCAATTATAGCAATGCCCGAGATGCCGACACCTATTGCCATTGGCCCTGAAACACCACTTGAAGCTAGGCCAGCGTCAGCTATTCCGTCTGCTACTCGCCCTCCAGCTTCTTCGCAGTCATGGCAACCTCCAACATTTGATCCCAATCGAGATGGCGTTCGCCTTGAGAAACCGGTGGGGTCTGTTAGGCGTCACTCGGAACATCAGGAAGCGACAGGTGTAACCACGTTTCCCGAGTGCCGCCGCAAGCACCCCGTCGCAGGTTTGGTGGACTGGCTTACACTGCCTCGTACAGAGTTCAACATTTGCCCTGATTGTTATGGTTCTGTCTTTGCCAAAACCGAATACCGAAAGCCATTTCAACCAATGCTTCGCCCCTCGGCTCAAGCGATTGCATGCGATTTTGGCGTTGGACCATGGTATCGCATTGCTTGGCTCCTCACCTTAAAAAATGAACTACCGGATTTACGACTCTTTCATGAGGTTGCTAAAGCCATATCCATCACTTACAGCCTTCCGTGCCCTGGTGATAGAGTCACCACACGCAATTGGCTGACACTCTGGAACCCATACACTCGACAGCCTGTATACGATTTTACCATATGTCCCCAATGCGCTCAAATTATCCAGGCACTGTTCCCCAATTTGACTGGCATTTTTATTCCTCTGGACTCCCGCTCAGAACCTACTAGGGGGCTATGCGCCATGCGTTTTAAGCCAAAAAGGAAGCGTTTCGTCATGTACTTTGATGCCATGGAAACGACTTCAGATCAAGCTCGTCTGGAACAAGAAGAGCCAGACCTGAACACTCTTGCACAAGAAGTTGAGAAGATGGCCGCAGTGAGCGAGTGTCAAGAGGATAAGCCCATCACCAACGGATACTGGCATATCATGCAATACCTCCGGCAGTTCTCTGTCTGTGGCGAATGTTTCGATGAGGTTGTCAGGCCATTGATCAAAGACGATAATGTTATCGCTCGCAACTTCTATATGAAGCCACAAAAGCTGCCACTTGCAACCTGCCAACTCTACTCTAATCGAATGAGAGAGATTTTTAGAAAGGCATGCCGGTGGAACGATCCTAAATACTTAGAGGCTAAGGTACTTGAGAGGATGGACGTCGAGGCCATGATTCACGAGAAGCTGGCCAAGCTGGATAGGGCCAAACATGAAGACGAGGATTGGGTTGAAGAACAGGTAGATAAGTATATTCAAGAATGGAAGAGGTGGGAATAATGGGACATGACACAAGGGACACGGTAGGGTAGGATATCTGCATCTTGGAGTATCTAGAAGGGCATAATGATGACATGTACTTATGCTACGAAGGAGCGCTTGATGAGCCTTTATGAGAATGATATAATATTATATAAAAATTGTCCGTGTCTATCAAAGTGATGGTGCTCTCTATTAGTGTTAGCCACAGATATCTCCCCAGATAAGTGCGGATAGTGTTCTTCGCACAGTTTGTCTTACTGTGCTTATGTGAATTCGCTACGTAGCTTTAAGTGGGGCAGACTTAGGGTCTCTCCGCCCACCAAATTTGACTGCCCGCAAAATATCCTAAGTGAAATTTCGTGAGCCTCGCAACCTCCCACTCCATCACCAATTTCGACGCCGCACGACCCGAGGTAAGAACTCAACGCCAGCTGTTGCGATTAATCTGGACCTTTTTCATACTGACTCAAGCATAATCAACAGGTCCAAGTCTCAACCTTCGCAATGGCTTCGCGACCTACCGTCTCTATCATCGGCAAAGATGGTGCTCCCACTGGAGCTACCCACGCCATTCCCGCCGTCTTCACCAGCCCGATCCGACCGGACATTGTCCAGCAGGTTCACACCGGTATCGCTAAGAACAAGCGACAGCCATATGCTGTGAGCGAGAAGGCCGGTCACCAGACCTCTGCCGAGTCTTGGGGAACTGGTTAGTACACGATGTCTTTTTTTTTCAAATTTATGGTTCTGGAGGGGGAATTTTCTGTGGGCGGGGGGAGAAGGATGGAGATGGACGAGGGAGAGACGAGAAATGTTTTGGGAATACACCACGACGATGAGCAGATCAGCAGGCTAACCACATTGCAAACAGGTCGTGCCGTCGCCCGTATCCCCCGTGTCTCCGGTGGTGGTACTCACCGCGCTGGTCAGGCTGCCTTCGGTAACATGTGTCGTTCCGGTCGCATGTTCGCCCCTACCAAGATCTGGCGCAAGTGGCACATCAAGGTCAACCAGGGCCAGAAGTAAGTTGATTTTGACGATGAGTTTTCGAAATTGCAAGACTAACATGTAACACCAGGCGATACGCCGTCGTCTCTGCTCTCGCTGCCTCCGCTGCCGTTCCCCTGCTCCAGGCCCGTGGCCACCAGGTCAACTCCGTCCCTGAGGTTCCTCTGGTTGTCGACTCCGCCGTCTTCGAGGGTGCTGCCATTGCCAAGACCGCTGCTGCTCTCGGCCTCTTGAAGGCTGTTGGCGCTGGTGCCGATGTTGAGAAGGTCAAGAACTCCAAGAAGCTCCGTGCTGGTAAGGGCAAGCTCCGTGGCCGACGCCACCGCCAGCGACGTGGTCCTCTTGTCATCTACGACCCCGAGACCGACGGCAAGGAGCTCGTCACTGCTTTCCGCAACATCACTGGTGTCGAGACCTCTCCCGTTACCGCTCTCAACCTCCTCCAGCTCGCCCCTGGTGGTCACCTCGGCCGCTTCATCGTCTGGACCTCTGCTGCCTTCAAGGCCCTTGACGAGATCTACGGTTCCACCACCGAGGCCTCTGCCCACAAGCGTGACTTCCTCCTCCCCTCCAACGTTGTCTCTCAGGCCGATCTTACTCGTCTGATCAACAGCTCTGAAATCCAGAGCTCTCTCAACGCTCCCAAGGGCGAGGCTGTCACCCGCCGATCTGCTGTCCAGAAGAAGAACCCTCTTAAGAACAAGCAGGTCATGCTTCGCCTGAACCCTTACGCCTCCGTGTTTGCCCAGGAGGCTCAGAAGAAGCAGAACTAAAATAATTCTCGACTTGCTGGGTGTGCAGCGGGTTAAGACGGAACTAGATGACGGGTCTTGCATGGTTTGATATTGAGGCGTAATGGCTTCTTTGAAGGTTGAGCTCTCTTAAAAATGAATCAGAGATTTGATATGAATTACAGCCTGACTCGGCATTGGTTCCATAACTTGATGCCTACCTGCCGTAATTGTGAACTGAGCTTGCTACGTTTGTTTTCAACGTGATTGTCGTATTACGAGCGGTTGTCGTTCTATGTTGATACTCTACACACAGTTTGCATCAGGGTTGACTTGTACAGTGACTATTTCTGTTCCATATAGATACACGTCAGTCACATACATGTCGATAGCCTGACAATTTTTCTTGTCCAATGGTCTTCATTCAGTAACTCTTGTTATTCATTTAATCTAGCTGGGCAACTCTTCCAGTAGCTCCTCAATCTGTGCAGTATCCTTAATCTTGAAGAATTCCTGCACAGATCGTGCGAATCTGCTTGCGCCACCATCAATGTTCTCGTCGCTCTCTGCTGCAAAGCACAGTCGTATATACTGCCAGCCACGCTTTTCCCGAATCTCCGGGGTAGCACTGAACATGCTACCAGGGCTGCCCAGCACCAGATGAGGTGCATGAGTACTATGGATCAGGAATGCATTTGCCAATGCGGTGCCATCAATGACAGGCGCAAGATCACCCCCTCTAGTCTGGTAGAGAGGGTGCTTCTCGAAGTGGACACGCACCCAGACAAACATCCCCCCACGAGGCCAGTCGAAATCGAACAAGCGTATCTTGCTGATGACGTCCCAGTCCAAGTCTAGGTTTTGAGACGTTGACTGCCTGAGAGAAATCGCATTCTCCTCAAGGATAGAGCACATTCGGGTCATACGACGCTCATACTCGCCACGAAGGCCCTCAAGCCAGCGGACCCAACCATCAAGCTGCCAGCCAGTAAACGAGGCTTTCTCTGATGCTGGGAGAGAGGAGAATGTCTCAAGAGCTGATGAGTGGGGGCCTAGAATGGCTTGAGCAATGAGTGCTTGGACGAAGCCAGAGGGCTGACCAGTGCTTGTCTCTGCGATCCTGTTCATCAAAAGTTAGCCTTTAAGATCTTGGTTAATGAGATACAAAATAGCATACCTAGTAAGACGCTCAATAATTGCAGGTTGCGCAGTTACATAACCCAATCGGGAACCAGGAGCAACTGTCTTGGAAAAGGTATCAAGACGAATGACACGACCGTCAACATCAATGCTAAGATATGACGGAACGAGCGAATCGATGAAGTCGTAGCCAGATGACTTGACTGTCTTGTGTGTATCAGCCGCTGGGGGGATAACATAGCCCCTAGCTTTGGCTTCGCGTATAGCAGCAGAAGGGAATTGCAGATACCAGTACGGGTCATCTTCAACGATGATAATGTCGTACTTGCTTGCGAGAGCGTAGACCTCTTTTCGTCTCTGGACGCCTACAACACCACTGGTAGGGTTATCTCCCATCCTGTAGCCAGCGGTTATTATACACATGCGTTCTGAGTCAGGCAAAATCACTCACGTTACCGTATATAAGAAATGTGGCAGTCGTCCGTTTCGAGTATTCCAGTTCTCGAGCACCTCTCGCAAACCACCGGATCCCTCGACTATCATACCTTCTTCGTCAATCTCAACTGGAACAACATTGACTCCAAGAGGCCGAGCTTGAGTAAGGATGTTACCAAAAACAAAGGTCTCACAGAGCATGCCTGGCCGCTCTTCCACAGGATGCACTCCCTCGTACCAGGGGTCAACCAGGAGCTGAAGGACCTTTGAGAACCCATCCGTACCGCCATTATTAAGAATGACATCTGCGCCGCCTTCGTACGGAACATTGGGGTGAAGTACTTGGTTCGTGAACTGCCTAATGAAAGAGTGCAGCGGCGGGTAGCCAGTCACCTGTCCATACTGGAGGGCAGTGGCAAGGTCAACCTTCTTAGTGATGTCTGGCTCGTTTAGAATTTTGGGTATAGAGATCCGAGACGATGTTTTGTTGTAATCTGGATTTCTAGGGGCGTTTTTGTCTGGACTGTTGCTATATTCACTAACACCGCCTGATAGAGATTGGGTTGATGGATCAACCTTGTCGGGATGATTCGGCGAGGGCTCCCAACGGTCCGCGTTGGATATCTGAGCTTCCAAGGTATCGAAGGGGAAATATTTAACATTAGGCATTCCTACCGGCCGTGTTAGTGCGAACATGTAAGACGGAAACTAGCAATCAAAGTTTCGGTGCCTCGGAGCCGGGATCGTCGATCAGTCACTGAATCCTACTCACCTCCAGCAAAATTGCTGATGCCTGGAATCTGCATGAATTTGTAAAAAGCCTTGATATTGCTTGGCTTGCGATTCCTAGTTACTGTCGAGAACAGGTGCGACAGGTCTTTGGGTGGAAGTAAAGCTTGGAGACCCGTCGCAGCTGGCGATGCCGGAGCTGTAACATCAGTTGCGGATGGTGCCATTGCCAGGATCAAGACCAATTGACTTTTCAGATATTGTAATGTTTTCAACCAGGGCCTTAGAGGATGTGAAGACAATCAATATATAAGAATAAAAGAACACAAGGGAGAGAAGAGTGAACGTTCTTTTCCCCTCTTCAAGTACCCTTGACGTTTCTTCGCGTATCTCTAACCGGATGTTCTAATGATAAGGCAACCCAACTATTGCCCTGACTGGGTTGGACCGGATCTGTTCAATCGCATTCCCGATGGCCGAATTGCCCCAAAACATTGGATCCATGATCCTTCTGACTGCATTACAAATCCAACCCCGACTCCCGCCATTCTAACCCACCATCACAACATCATTGCACTCGCACCATCCCCAAAAACCCCATAGTTTGCCGAATCGGATATGGAGTGAGTGGGAACCACCACCAACGATTTGCTTGACAGTTTGAGTCCCCTGTCATAAGCACCCTATCACATCGTCTGGGGTCAAGACGATATTGAATCGCAACGTCCTAGACAAATGGCGAAATTGTATTGCGAATTTCTGTGATACCTCGTCTTTCAGTCTTAATCACAGCTCGTTTCTCCCCTTCTCCGCATGATGTCGAGCTCCAGGCTCATAGTGAAATCCAATCTCCTCAAAGGTCTGAGCCTTGCAGCCTAGTTGCTCGAATCTCGCCTTGGCTTCGAGGAACATGCTGCGCTGCCACATGAGCTCGTCATTCCAGTACGGCGGCTCTTTTCCTGGCCGCTTGGCCTTCATAACCCAATCATGCAAGTTGTTGATGTAGTGACCATCCTCGTTGGGACCAAAAACATGTAAAGTGTCGCCTTCCTGCTTCTCCAATGCCTTACTCCAGGCTTCCATGGCGCCTCGGGCTGGAAGCTCAATGTTGTTGGACCACACAGCCGAAAAAAGAGCTGCTTGGCTCTCGCTCAAAGGCCAAGGGGCTGCTTTCATGTTAAGGCCTGGGAAAACGAGGGTTGGATGCTGAATATTGAAAACGTGTTGGTACAATCCATGCACACCTCGGCCTGTGGTAATGAGCTGGTGGCCTAGATCCCCGAGAAATGGAAAGCTAAAGAGGAAGCCGGTGCAAAAGACGATGGCGTCAATATCCGTCTCAACTCGGCCATCCTTGAAACGGATACCCTTCTCCTCAACTAGGAACTCCTCGACCTCTGCTGCTTCTGTACACCCAGAGTGAGCTAGTCGATCTGGGGGCGTAGGGTGTCGCACAGACAAGATAGCAGGCTTTCTACACTCCTGATTGATCTGCAGGGCAATGTCCAGGCCAGACGGACCATTACCAATCACGACTACCTTGCTGTCTCTAAACGGATAGGGAGTGCGGTACTGTTTGGAGTGTGTAATTACTCCAGGGTATGCCTCGTTAAACTCTTTCAAGTTCTTCATATTGGGTACAAATGGTATCGAGTAGTGACCGTTTGCAACGACAACGGCATCAAAGGTATTCGTGGTTATGTCGCCGCTATTGATAGTTGATTGTGTTTCAACCTCCCACCTGTCCCGACCATCTTGCACTTTCAGAGTCACCCTCTCGACACGTCGACAAAAGCGAATCAGGGGTTTGACATCCTCGGCATACTTGACCAGATAGTCCTCGATCATAGGCCTCTCGGGGAAGAGCTTGGAGTCCTCGGGAAAGACTTGGTCGGAAAAGTTCATGACTTCCTTTGGGATATTGGCGTGCAGATTCTCGTACATCGGCGAAGTGAATATCGGCGCTGATGTCGAATTCCATCTGATGGGGTTTTCAGGAGGACAATAGGGATCTTCTTGAGGTACAGGACAAGTTCCTGGGGCTAACCCATAGTAACGCCAAATGCCGCCAACATGGTCCTGCTGCTCAAAGATAACAATGTCCTCAAAACCTTGCGCAATGAGGTATTTCGCTGCCGCAAGTCCAGTAGGACCAGCCCCGATGATTGCGATTTTGTGGACGTCGAAAGGCGTCGGCTGAGTCAGAGAGCCCATGCTGTGCTGTAAGAAGTAAAGCAACTAATAAAGCAGCCTTCCGTCCCAGACACGAACCAATTCTTCACTGGTGTAACGTTGTGAAGCAGGAGAGATAAATCAACAAATCAATGAGGTGCCTAGGTAATCAAATTCTTCTATGGACAAGCCTAGGAAAAGTCATCAGCCTTCCCTTGCCATCGAGGCACGCCTAAACCTGAGTGGGGGTAGGAACTATTTCGACTTTGTTCCGACTCTTTTTACTGCTTCTGTTAAGTCACGGTAGTTTCGGTGCTTCCCATTGGAAGTCCTGGCCTGTTGTCGGCCCCAGAGCCGCATAAGAGTGGCCGCTGTTAGACTCGGTGATTTTCAACGGCAGTGATAAACTGATATGACCTGGATCCAGTGAGGCCTTCACCGCCTTCTATTTTCGGGCAGATCCCCACCACAGCTTGCTTTCGGCCTTCCTCCTTGCTCGGAAGCTTGCATATCGATTTCATTGTTCCAATAATTCACACGTCTACGAACGAATCAGCGCCTCGAACGCGGTTAACAGCAGCTAGAACAACGAAAAGAAATACGAGATGAGGCAACCATAAAATCATAGAAAGAACGAAAGAAGAAAAAAAGTTGTCGCACATGCTTTAATAAAGCAACACAGTCCCTCTGGGTTTTCAAGTCTCGCCGACGCGACTGACATTGCGACCAAGTCACGATGAACAACTCACAACCCACAACATCGCTACTCGATCAGGGCGAACCTATATCAATCGCCCAGCTCAGTCCGGATGTCCCAGGTCAAGACGCACGAGTTATAATTGGCACCGTGACTATTACATGGCCATTTAGTATCCTCAACAAATCTATCGCATTTCTTTTAGCTGAGCGAGACTTTCGACTCCGACGCGAAAATGGCCAGGTGCGAATCCGTTTCCATGGCGCAGCCGCTAAGGCGATCGCAGATGCATCGTTGGGAGCAGGTGACGAGGTTCGTGTGAGCCTGCAGGGCGTCAAGTGGGAGAAAAACGAGACACAGACTCAAGTCGCAGGAAGCACTTTAGCATGGCAGCTCGAATTTACAAATCGCTTGGTACTTGGTATCCGTCGACCCGGAGAAGAACGAGACACATTGCTCACTATCGACGCCCCAGACGCGGAAACGGGAACCACTACCACCAACGGCCAAATTGATAAAACTGACCAAATCGACACCCTCACATCCGCGCCCGAAGAAGCTGCCACACCTACGCCTTCATCTCCAGAAGTCACCTTACCTGTAAAACGAACTGCTTCGTCGACTTTGGGACCTCTTGAATTCGCTTCGCCTGCTTTCCTCAAACGAGCCCGTGTCTCTTATGGGGCATTATTCGAAGGAGATATAGAGATGTTCGATGACGATGACGATGTTGGGAGGACCAAATCGAAAAAGCGCACGCGGTTCAGTCTACCTGCCAACTCTTGGCGATATACTAGCCGATCCCCTAGCCCAGAGCCTGAAAACGATCGTGAAGAGGAAGATAAAGAAGAGTCCTATATGAGGAGTGTCTCGCAGCGCAATGGCGATACAGAAGATACTACCACAAATACAACACCACGACCGAGGATGGTTGATCAAGGTAGTCAAACAGTATATGTCGACTTTACTCCGATGGCCAGTGTGCAGGTTTTGGCTGAATCAAGACCAGCTTTTGGATTGACACAGACGACTCCCACGCCATTTGCCCGAACGAGACTGTTTGAAAGAGATGATTCTCTTGTGAACCAGTCTTTGCAACTCGCAGGAGACTCGACGACACCACAGGGGATGCCACCTAGGACAGATGAATATCTACTGGGTCACACCCCAAGCAACGTGAACACCGATATGCCTTTCAGTTTTACTCCACAGACCGTACTCTTTCCTCAGGCTCCGGGTTACTTTTCGGAGGAAAATGCACAAGATATTGTAACTGATTCGCCCGGTCTCCTTCCAAGAGCAATGAATTATCCAGCTGAGTTCCTGGAGACCGAAAACCCCCCTCAAAATGTTGTGGAAGCTCTTGCAGGCCTCGCTTCTCATGAACCACAGTCCTCTGGACTCCCCCAAATTCCTCTCGGTGCTGAACCAGCGTTTCACCCTGCATTCACTGCGACTTCGCAACCACCTCAGACTGCCTGGGCCATAGGATTGTCCCCTGGACCCCGCTCTGCAGCTGCTAGTAGCGACGCTGAGAATCCAGTAGAAATTTTGAGCTCTTCGCCATTCAGGGAACAAGGGTCGCGGGGGTCTAGTAATGACCGCCAGTTATCTCCCTCAAGAGAGAATACGGATATGAACACAACCGCAAATGTATCTCCAGAACCCGCACTTGAGGAACCGGCAAGTGAAGCTGAGTATTATCGCGATGGTGGTGATGAGCCTGGCGATGATTACGACCTAAGGAAGTACTCCCGCACGCACGATGACGACGACGACATGGAGACATCTGAAGAAGAACCCGATCCAAATACCAATGACCCTGATATACAAATCATGAATCCCGATGAGGATGACGCAGATGGCGATGAAGATGTCGTAAACCAAGAGGAATACCTCGACGACGAATACCCTGACACGTACGAGCAACGGTCCGACGTCGAAGGAGAAGAGTACGAAGGGTCGGAAGGTGATGCGGAAGGTGAATATGACTCGGATGAATACTACTACGACGATGAAGATGGTAGAGAAGAGGACGTGGACACCCGCCCTTCCGCTCCACTTGCTTCTCGAGAGCCTGTTATCATCGACCTACTCTCAGATTCCGAAGATGAGGAAGCGCCAGAACCAGAACCAGAGGCAGCAATGGATGCAGAGGTCGAAAATAAAGACGACAAACCAGTACTGGGGATAGAAGAGGCGAAAACATCACCAGCGTCAAAGATAGAAGGAGATTTTCAAGTCCCCGAAGCAGATAAGATTATGGCCGAAGAGGAAAACCAGCATCTGTCGCGGTTTGATACGGATGAAGAGCCCCTGTCTTCAACCAAAGAGGGAAAGGAGCAGGCAACAGAGGCAGGAATTGTTGACAGCAACCAAATGGGTCCAATGAATGAGGGACAAGTTCCTACATCTGATTCTGAAGGCTCAATCAAACATGAAGCTGAAGTTGCCGAGGCCGCCATTTGTGCAACCAGAATTGGGGATGACAACGAGATCACAGACAAAGCAAAGTCACCTGTCACTTCATCTGCCCCACGGGAGTTTCCCAGCGCAGAAGTACTGCAATGTCATGATTACGAAGCTGGAAAGAAATCAAATCCAGTGGAAGCGGAAGCGGAAGCATGCGATATCGACATGAGGAATGCCCCTCCACTGCTGGGAGAAGCAAAAGGGCACGAGGCAAAGGACATTACCCCTGGTCAATCTGCTGAGACGAACCCACTAGACGAGACAGCAGTTGAACCTGAAGCGACAGTCGAGGCCATGGACATTGATGAACCACCTCACAGACCTACTCCAACAATGGAAATTCTGGAAGCCAATGTTGGTATTAGCGGACAAGTATACACCGCGACCACGGAAGCTCCTTACGAAGCATTAACAGATTCCCAAGAACCATCTCCACAGCCACAAGAGACCATACACGATGATGCCAGATCGTCGAATGTCCCCAAAACTGGGACGTTGTCCGGAGAGAGTCAAGCTATGACATTCGAGAATCAGGAAAATATCGAATCTCAGATATCTCAAGGTCCTGAACATTCTGAATCGCATGAAAACATGTCGGACCGCTTGTCAGAGGTGGCAACTAAACCAGCTTCTCAAATGGTGAATGCTTTGGACCAAGCAGACAACGGCGAAGTTGAGAAGGCAAGCGATGAGGCACAGCCTGAAAATGGTGGCCAAATTTCCCCTCCGCCAACACAGGACCCAGAAGTCCAGACCCTGCTGGAAGACAGCATCAAAGTCTCGCATGACCGTGCTGTCGAACATCTTCCCACTCCTGGTGGCACACAGCAGGTGATCGAGGTCGAAACAGTCGGCACACTGAGTGTTATCACTCATGCTAACCAGATGACGGAGGAGGAGGAGGAGGAAGGACCAGAGGATCAGATCATGGCTGAAATATTACAGCAATCTCCCGTGCAACCCGAAACACGCCTTTCTACAGACCCTGCTTTGTCCACTGTAACGTCACAAACCAAATCGCCTCACCACACTGGACCGGCTGATAGGCCGCTTATAGGATCTCCCCAAGATGCTGAGGCAGCATCTGAGATCATAGTCGCCAAGTCTTTGCGACCTCGGCGGCACAAGCCAACCAAATCATCAGATGGTAATGGGCACGACGATCCTAGCCTGGCGTTTATCACAACCACACCCACCTTGAAGACCACGGACCGTGGCAGCAAGCCCAGCAGTCCAGCCGCATCAAGCAGCAAGACACGCAGTAAAACGCACCGCGACGATCCCAGCATCCAATTGGCAGGTGGCTCGGTGCAGGCAGATACAAAGAACAAAGGGAAAAGAAAAGTAACCGACGATGAGAGCATTCACAGCGTGGACAACAACTCACCAGGATCCCAGCGAGTGCTACGTCCGAGGAATGACCACGGTGACCCTAGCATATTGCTTGCTAAAGGGTCAAGTCCATCGACTCGACAGACTAGAAGTCAGAAGACTCCAGATCCAAAGCGGGAGACCCCTAGGCGTGAAACTCGCTCGGTATCGCGAAGCTTTCACCGGCAGGAAGAATCCCCGAACTTGTCGTTCGCCTCGCTCAAGTCGCCGTCGATCGCTGGCTCTACAGCGACTGTGCCTGAAGAGGAGGATGTCAAAACTCTGAAAATGCAGCTAGTCAAAAGCCTACGAACGAACTTGCCCGACTTCCTGTCGCTTAAGATGCTCAGCAGGAACTCAATCGACAAGATGACGGATATTCTTGCTGTGGTAACACAAACACCGCCACATCCACACCGACCGAAACACGGCCCTCGGGATTTCATGCTCACTTTGTGTCTGACCGATCCGTCGACCGCGCCGACCCAGGTCCGGGTGGTCCATATTTTCCGGCCCCACCTGGCATCGCTACCAGATGTCGAGGGTGGGGATGTCATCCTCCTCCGGCGGGTCAAGGTGGTGTCAATGAAGGGCCGTGGCTTCGGCGTCCGTTCAGAAGATGGCTCGTCATGGGCAGTCTCGAAATACAACGAACAAGAAATTCTTACCCAGGTCAAGGGTCCACCTATTGAAGTTACCCCAGAGGAGATCGAATACGCCAAGGGTCTGCGGCATTGGTGGAGCCTCCAGGATGACAACGCTATGGGCAAGATCGAGACGGCGTCCCGGAAGGTGACCGAGGCAGGTAAAGAGAACGCCAAATGAGTGGACAGGCATAAGAAAAAGTATTATGGATTGGAGAACACGGCAGGGGTCTCACGGCACATAAAAAGGGGGCATAAATGCATTGCTTTCGTTCACGTATTTTGGAGATTCATGACTGACGGTGTTTTGGGAGCAAACGAAGTCAACAAGCAACCATTGGCATAAGGAGATTGCTAGTGAAATCACAGCATTCTATAGCTAAAGATACCCGATGGCTAATATTGTAGTTATTTTTGTAATTCAAGAGTTTTTTGTGTATCAATATCTAATACAGTCACAAGCAAACGAATGTATCAAATCTACTTATGCCGAGGATATGTTTACCACGTGTAAGTTGTGAGCAAGCTTAAGTTTAAGGTACGAGCAGGGCTGATGGCCCGATATCGGGATGCTATGACTCTTTGACGAGTTCTCCAGACACTTACGGCTCGTCACAATGAATGTTCGTGTAATTGCAAGTAGACATATGATTGTAGGAGTCATGAGGTGGCGTCAGGGACAAGGTTTGGCGGAGCAAGATAATCTGGGGGAACGGAGGCTTCACACCAGACAGGTGGATAGAAGCTAGGACGAACGGCAACGGGACTTCCCCAGATGTCAGACGGATATGTTGCGTCAATGGTAGCACTGGATGCTCAAGGTAAGGCAAGGCCAGGTAGTTCTAGGTAGTATGGAGTAGACATATTTAGCACGGAGCCGCACCCTCGGTACCTGTCCGTGGGTGGACACGGGGTAGACACGAGCTAGCTTATAAGAGGAACACGCCTCAGACAATCTCTGGGGTTTAAATTGAACTTGTTAGACTCTCTATCCGTAGAGGGGTGTATTCGTTTGTGTTAAGCGAAGCCGCTTTGAAGAATGTGGTTGCAGGTGACGTTTGATTTTACTCATTAGAGCAATAGTTGCCCATGTCTTGGTTCCTGAAGTTAAAGGCATGTGAGGCGGGGTAGCTCTCCGTTCTAAAGGGAGCTCGGGGAGTGTGAGGAGGGTCGGAGAAAAGGAACATGGCGAATGTCTAGGAGTTGATTGATGTCGAGAAGAAGCTCGGGGTGTGCAGTGAACGAGCTATCCCAGTCTGGCTGGTATCTAGCTGGTCAACGACCATGATGTTTCTTCGGGAAAGATTTAGTGATGTACTTGGAGCTAGACTTGAGCATCACATGAACTATCTCTTTGAGCGGTGCAAGACTCTAAAGGGTCACTTGCCCCACTTAGCTTATCTAATCACACAAGTACCTGCAGGGTACGAGAAGTTCTTATCAGACGGCTTTTTTAATTAATATATATAAATCCTTATATAAATTAACCCTAATAAGTCTTAAAGAAAATAATAAGCTCTTTAAAGATATAAAATAGCCTAGATAATTATAGCTTTAACCCTTACTTAAGGTGCAGCTATAATAACCCTATTAAGGTACTGATTTTTCTGCCTAAGGAAGGCAAAGGCTCTAACTTTTAGCCTTTTAACCTAAAATATTATAATTTTTAGATTAACCCTCTACCCTAAAAACTACTTAAATTATTTTAGTTTTTTATACCTATTTCCCTTATATAGTTATAAATTAAATATACTAATAGCTAGGTTACTTACTTACTTAAAAATACTATTATTAATAACTAAAATATATCCCTTTTTAAATACTTATATATACTTAAGTAAGAAGACCTCTTTATTATAATAGCCTATATATGGCTTAGAGTTATAATTTACCTAGGAATTTATAAGGAAATATTAATTAAGGACTATTAGAAGGCCCCTAGCTTAGGAAATTAGCGCCTTCTTTACTTTTTTATAAAGTTTATACTATTATTTAAGTTTAAGCTAATTATAAGGTATTTCTATACTTTTAACTATATTAAGCTTAATATAAGGGATAAGAGTAATCTTCTAAAGACCTTCTAAGCGGCTAAAAAGTAATCTAACTATATATAGAAGGCATTTACTAAGCTCTATCTTTTAAGGACTAATTTAATTATAAATAAGTATATAATCCTTTTTATAAGCAGATTTAAAGAGATAATAGTTATTAAGAATAAACCTATGCCAGTAAGGTTTAAAGTCTAGGTTATTGCGCAATAAGGCTACTTTCTGTAGTAACTTTAGTATATAAAGGCATTACTATATAAAGCTATTATTATTAAGCTACCTATATTAAAGCTATATAGTAAGTAAGGAAAGCTTTAAACTAAGATCCCTCTTAATAATATATAAAGTATTATAATTTACTTACTAAAAAGGCTATTAATATAAATATATTATATCTTTATAAATAACCTATTTTCCTTATTATATCTCTTTTACTATCTTTAGTAGCTTAAATATAATGCTATAAGTATAGCATGCCCTAACTGCAGTATTACTACTAAGATAAAGTATATAAAAGAGACTAAAAAGGCTCCTAATAGCTAGCCTTTAAAGTATAATAAGGTAATATTAATCCTAATATAAGATAAATAGGTATAAATAACTTTATATATATTTCCCTTATTAATTTATTCCTTTTTATCTCCTTTAGGTTATTTAAATTGCCTAGAAAGATAGTAATATTATGCTCTTCTTTTTAACTATATATAGCAGAGCTCCTTATAAGCATATACTAAAAAAGAGGAAACTGCCTGCCAAAAGAGGCATAAAGGCAGAGGCATAGCGCCTGCAGCAGGTCTTTAATAGAGATAGCTTTAAGATAATCCCTATTCCTATTATTACTGCTATATATAATAATAAAATAAATCACATTAACTATAGCAATTAGATATAGTTATATATAATATATAAATATCGCTTTTACTATAGTCCTTAGCAGGCATTACTTTAGTCTTTCCTTCTTAAAGTCGCACTTATAAATAGCTTTATTTTATAGCTTTATATATAATAGCCTTATTAAAAGCCTTATATAATATTAAAAGACTAAAAGGAGTATATCTATAATGCTATTTTTAATAGATATACTTTAGAAAGTTATATTAAGAAGAGAGGCTATATAGGGTTAAAAGAAGATATCGAAAATACAGAAGTACGGCAAAAATACCTATAAAGAGATATTAATTATATTAATAGAGGATTAAATTCCCCCTGCCTAGCTTATAAGGGCTTCTGGTAAGGTTAGCCTTAACCCTTTAAAAAAAAGAAGATAAAAGGAGGTTATTTACAGCCAGTATTAAGAAATAACTAAATTTAGAAGAGCAGGTATGGCTATAAAGTATATAATATAGCAATTTATAATAATAAAAACTGCTAGTACTTCTATTATATGCTATTTTAGGTATAGGTAGAGGTACCGATTATTGCGCTAATTTTGATTCGCTCTAGACCCCTGTCGTGACCGCCTTGGAGTCTTGCACCGCTCAAAGAGATAGGTTTGTTCTTGCAGTCTAACTGGTGAGATGGTGTAAACCATGATGCGGGGACGGGGATTTTCTTTTGCTTGCTTGTATGGCCTCCTACAACTAAGGAGAGGAGGACAATTTTCAGCTTGGCCGAGGCAAACCGATCTATGATTTGAGGGCATGAAACCAAGAGGATGCGGCTCTTCAAACACCAGGTATATTAACAGGGGCCACAGTTCCCAACAGAAAGATATCGGATTCCTAAGCCGAAGTGAACCAGGGCCAGCCACTTGCTGGTCTGATCTGGTTGATATCTCTGATAATAGTGGCTTACTTCCAGCTATTGTTGAGCTAAACTCTGAAGATACTCAAGGCCAGCATAATGAATTGGCTTTCTATTGAACTGATCCATTTCGGCAAGACTAGCCATTACTTGCTGCTTGTGAATTTAGCTTGTTGATCCTCGTTTATCGAGTAGCTGGTTTGACATGCCACGACGGTCCAGATACCGTGATACCGACATATGTCCCGCGAAACACGTATGCTAGAAAAGCATGGTAGGTATTTCGGCGTTGTGGAGGGTTGCCCGTGAACATCAAAGGTGAATGCATGCTAGTGCCGAAATACTCCAGGGTAACACCAACAACGTCTAGATGGATATAAAGTTACGATAGTATAGAGGCCGAAGCTTGTCCGAAAACACAACCACCATGTGCCGTGGCTTGGGCTTGTGATTATATGTGTCACCATATGCATGGATGTTTATTGTGCTGAGGAGTTATTGAGTTTCACTTCAGTAACATAAATTTTGTTGACGTTTTGGCAAAGCCCCGATCGAGACAAGTCAACAAGATCCTGGGAGGACAGACGAATGCGGGGTGACGGCATGGCACCCAATAGGCGGGTTGTCTAGATGATTCACTGTTAACTTTCTATCGGTCGTCTCATTGTGTGAGCTGAATGACTCAAGTTGAGTTAGGAAAGAAAATCACGAGTTGCAGCACCGAATACTTTTAAGAAACTGTCAACAGTTTGGCACAGCAATGGCGGCTTAATGATTACCAATGCTTCCAGACCAAAGGAGAAAACCCCTTGGAATCAATCAACCCAACTCAATTTTAGCCAGGGACCAGAGTGGAACTCAGGTGAAGGGAAGAAGAAGAAAAAAAAAGGTCAGGTATGGTGAGAGAGAAGTGGAGTCACCTTCCTGGAGATTCCGTGGTGAGACGCGCGAGACCTTGAACCTCTAGAGGTTAGGCGTACCCGAGCATGCCCCTGTCTCGCACCTTCCCCGCTGGATCAATTTGTCGATCTCCACTATC